CAAAACTTATTTGACTGGTCACCATGGGCAACAACCCTTCTTAGAAGCCTGATTGGTTCACTAGTTTTACTTCTATTAGCCTCATCATTGGGCCCTGCCTGTTCAATGCCCTAATCAGTTTCATATGGAATAGGATTGGGGCTGTGAAACTCATGGTTCTTAGAACCCAGTACATGACCCTTGATACTCAAGAACAGAATAATGAATCAGTGATTTGATTCTCAAACAAAAACAGTAGGGAATTAAGTAAGTGATTCCATTTTGTAACTTTATTTTTGTAATGTCCAGCTATGGCTGGCAATATCTTGCTAAAACTCCATTTTATGAGGCTGAAATAACCATCTCATGCTGCCCCCACTCCCAGTGAGTTAGGGGCTGCCCCTTTTGTATTTTTCTTCTCTCCCCTCCTAGGCACATAAAGCAGCTAAATCATCCCTCAATAAATGTCAGTGCTAGAGCATGTATTATGGGGTGGTTATCAGAACAAGCTCCTATCATCCCTCAATGGATGCCTCTGCTAGTGCATGTACTGTGGGGTGACATGTGCTAAAGCACTTACACTAAGGTGGTTATCAAAACTAACTCCCCTCCGCCCTTGATGAATGCCTGTGCTAAAGCACATAAACTAAGTCCTTGAAACTGCAGTTTCTTCTTCTGTATTAGTACTAGCTTGCCTGCTTTATAAAGCCTACCTAAAATCGGCCCCATTACTGCAGCATAGGAGTGTGCTTCAGCTCCCTACAGTCGGCTAACCTAAATAAATCCCTTTTATCCAAAAGTGGACATTATAGTGGCTATTATTTTAAATTGAACCCATAACAGTTTGTCTCAAAGCACCCTCTAGAGATAATATCAAAGAACAAAAAGTTCATTATAAAGTGCCAGAACATGCTGAGGAGCAACACTTGACCTCTGGATATAAGTTACACTGTGGCTGTCAGGAAGGAGAATTGGTAGCACAGTGGTTATGTGCTCAGTGTGTCCTGAAGGGTTGGCAGTATGAACCCACCAGCTGATGCAAGGGAGAAACATGAGGCCATCTGCTTCCTTAAGGACTACAGCTTTGGAAACCTTAGGGGGCACCTCTACTCTGTCCTATAGGCTTGCTGGACAGCAATGGGTTTGGTTTTCAGTTTTTTTGTTGTTAGGACCTTCTAGTCACTTCTGACTCACAGCGACCCCATGTGACAGAGTAGCACGGCCCCTCAGGGTTACCTTGGCTGTCCTCTTTCCTGAGGCAGATTGCCAGGTCTTCCTTCTGTGGAGCCACTGGGGGGTTTCAACTGCCAACCTTTGTGGTAGTAGCTGAGTGCTTTAACATCTGCACCACCAGGGCTCATCTTCTAAAAAGGAGTTCAATTCATTATTTCCCCAAAGTGGAGTGCTGACAAGCAATTTTATAATAATATAAAAGTTGTCTAACTTTTAAAGCCTCAAAAATAATTAGCTTTAACCTGGTAGACCAGGTTTACTGTATGAGAGTATTAAGGAAACAATAATCATAAAGAAGAGAGATAAAAACCATCCTAGACTAACATATTAAAGGTCAGTTCACTTACTAACACTCTTTTCCAAAATTGTATTGTCTGGTTAGTTTTCATTTCTCACTTAATCTCATGACCCTGGCATACTAAAAACTGTTAGAGACATGTTAATGAGCTAAATTTGATTTCTATGATTCTTGGTTTTAAGTTACTTCTTTAGTTTCTTTGTCAATGCTTTCCTCTTTTTCAAATTCTTCTGGAGTTGCTTATATTTTTCCAATTCTGTTTTACTTTCTTCTTGAGAAGTTTTAATTATAGAGAATTAAAACTCTAGATATTTTATTCTTAGTTCCAAATGATTTCTTACTGAAACATTATGTTCTCTTAACTTCTCTAAGTTTTCTTGAGAAGGTATCTGAATCTAAAATGAAAGGACAGATTTTTAAAATAATTATAACTACACAATTATAATGTATTTGTTTCCTTTAGTTCATAGTGATACAGAGAGAGATAATAAATATGTAAAAAAGAAGGTGAAGTTTAAAATATTTCTCATCCATATCAACTGTATTATATCTGAATTATAGAAAGCTGATTCTTATGCTATTACTCATGCAATCTGATAAGATCAAATCCAGGAAAACATGATCTAAAGATGAAGCCAAACCCATGTCTGTAAAATATTGTGAAGACCTCAGAAAGATTGAAATTTGTACCTTAAAATCCTTAAAAATCTTAAAGATTAAGAACATTAAGGGTATTGTCTTATAACAGCCTCACAGGAAGCCCAAGGAAGAAAATAATTTACATTAAAAAAAAAATATGATGGTGGCTTTTCGAACACAATGAACTCCAATAAAATTCATAGCAAACTCATAAATTTTATAGGGAACTGTAGTAACAGAACGACTGCTTGCCAATTTGGACTAAAAAGAGTCAAGACAGTACAAAATGGAGAGGGCTTTGGACTTTAGAGGTTCTGTTGTTGTTGTTGTCACCACAGCTGTTGTTGTTGTTATGTGCCATTGAGTTGGGCTCAACTCATAGCAACCCATCCTGGGGTTTCTGAGGCAGTATCACTATGGAAGTAGATTGTCCCACCTACCTTCCAAGGAGTGGCTGGTGGGTTTGAACCTCCAGCCTTCTGGTTGGCAGTCAAGTGCCTTAGGCACTATGCTACCTGAGGTATGATAATACAGATTAACTGTAAATTAGTACTAATTTATCTCTTACTTGTTTCTAATAAATTGCTTGCATATTACCTGAGTTTGAAGTGCTGCACTCTTGAAAACTCTTTTGAGTGGAGTGAAATGTATCTTCTGTGAATTATGTACTGAGATAGAAAGTATAGCTATATATTCCTTTCTACTTGAAGTAAGGAAAGTCAAAAAAGTCACTTCCATTGAGTCAATTTCAACTCATAGCGACCCCCTTTGGGTTTCCGAGGCAGTAATTCTTTATGGAAGTATATTGCCCAGCCTTCCTTCTGTGGAGTGGCTGGTGGGTTTGAACCACCAACCATCTGGTTAGCAGTCAAATGCCTTAGGCACCACGCCACATGAGCTCCTTTTAAAGAAAGACAGATTCAGGAAAATGTGATTTTCCAGAATGTAGTGTCTGTGCCAAGAGAATCAGCACCAGTGTCACACCCAAGAACCAGGTCAAAAGAGCATGTAATTGTGAACTGCAAGATGAAATAAGTAGCTATATTTCCAAGGGGGAAAGCTAATAGGTCAGAGTTCATCTTCTCCTTCTTCAATGGTGAAATCTAAGGATTATATGCATTATAATGACTTAATAATAAGCATTAGGAGCTCTGGTGGTGTAGTAGTTAAGGCATTTGGCTGCTAACCAAAAGGTTGGCAATTTGAACCCAACAGCTACTCTGTGGAAGAAAGATGAGGCAGTCTGCTTCTGTAAAGGTTTACAGCCTTGGAAACTCAGTGGGAGTTGCTATGAGTCAGAATCAACTTGATGGAAGTGGGTTAATAATAATCTTAATGAAGTAAGTAGTAAACTGATACAGAAGATCCTATGACCAAGATTTGATGGAATTGGAATGAAGAGGGTGGCCCAGAGGGAAAGACTAAAGGTAGGAATGGAGAAGAGAAAAGGGATGGATTCTATCTTTGTATTGTATAGAAGTCTGACTTCCTGTTATCATGGTGTCAGCAGGGCATGAGTTGGATATAGCCTCCTTCAATAAGCAAAATGTTTCCACGGGAGTAAAGTTAAAGATGTTTTACCACACTGACTTTTTATATTATCTAAGAAAATGAGTAATATGCAAGACTATTTGGAAACAGTTCTCGTAAAATTTGTTTTGGACTACCATAAGCATAGGCATATAAGTCAATGGAAAAGAAAAGAGAATTCAGAAATAAATCCTCACATTTATAGCCAACTGAATTTCCACAAGGGTGCCAAAACAACTAAATGTGAAAAGATTAGTCTTTTCGATAAATAGTGCTGGAACAAGTGGATACCCATATACAAGAGACATCAGTTGGATTCCTACCTCATCTCATATATAAAAATTAACTAAAAATATAAGAGCTATGACAATAAAACCTTAGAAGAAAACATAGGCATAAATCCTTATGACTGGATTTGCTAATGGTTTCTTAGACATGACACCACATTTACAAGTTACTAAAGAAAAATAAATACACTGGACCTCATGAAAAATTAAAAAGTTTAGTGCTTCAAATGATACCATTAAGAAAATGAAAAGTCAAGCCACAGACTCAGAGAAAATATTTGAAAATCATATTGTGGTATAGGAGTTTGCTAATAAGATATATAAAGAACTTTACAAAACAATAATGAAGAGACAAATAACCAAAATTGGCAAATGATTTGAATATGACTTTTCACCAAAGATGATATGCAAATGGGCAATAAGTATATGAAAAGATGCTCACATTACAGTCATCAGAAAAATGAAAATCTAAGCTACAATGAGGAGCTCTGGTAGCATAATGGCTAAGGCACTTACCTGTTAACCAGATGGCTGGTGGTTCAAACCCACCGGCCACTCCTCATAAGGAAGGTTGGGAAATCTGACTTCTGTAGTGATACTGCCTCGGAAACCCAAGGAGGGGTCACTATGAGTCGGGTTCAACTCGAAGGCACATAACAACAACAAACTACAATGAGATGCCTCTTCACACCCACTAAAAACAAACAAAAAAACAAACTCACTGCCCTAGAGTCAGACCCAACTTATATCTTCCCCTCCTTGGATTTCTGAGGCGGTATCACTATGCTATGGAAGTAGACTGCCCTACCTTCCTTCCGAGGAGTGGCTCGTGGGTTTGAACCACCAGCCTTTTAGTTAGCAATGAAATGGCACTAGGCATTGCCTCTCCTCACCTAATCCCTTCGACTGACTGCTCTTCTCTCTGGCTTCCTGGCTTTTAATCCCCTTTCTCCTGCTCTTCCTGCTTGCTACTTCTGGTGTCCCTGAGTTGTCTCTCCTCACCTGTAACCCTGGGGCTGACTGCTCTTCT